TAGACATGTCAAATTCAAATCCACCATCATTATTATACATTTGAAAAGAGATTTTATGAAAATCTAAGTTTAAAAAACTTTTCAAAGCAAATATTTCAAGAGATTCAAGTTGAGAAAATAAGCCCACAAAAGGTATGAAAACTGAGAGACAGGTTGTAGAATACTCTTCCTTAGAAGAACATAAGAAGGAGTTGATTTTAAAACATCAACATCTTCTTCTCAAGGAAAGAGCTAGCATTTCTCCTTAAGGCACAAAGGTATGTGAATACAAAGAGCAAGATGGGAGTACTTGAAGAAAGTGGGAACTTAAAGAGCTAGGAGAATTTTGGCCAAATGAATAGACTTCAAGTAGCCCTAAAAGTTCAAATTACAAGTGATTTTATAAGCTCTCTTATGAATAAAATTAGGGTAAAATTATTTTAGAAAATTTTCAAATTTGATGTTTGAATTTTAGTGGGAAATAAATCAATATTGTTTTCTATTTTAATTTCGTCATATGACTAAAATTGTCATCAGTTCAATCATTCAAATGGGTTTGATTAGAACAAATTTAAATTTAAGATTTTAATTTTATTGAGAAATTATTAAAGGAATTAAATCAAATACATTAATAAACATTTCAAAATTAATTGAAGCATGTTGTTGAAATATTCAATTTATTGATTTCAATTGATTAATTAAGTTTACTTAAAAAAATTGTTCATGGTTTTTTTTTTCTACAAATTTTGAATTTAATTTAAATCGTATAATAATTTCCTAAATTGATTTCATGGAAAAAGAAAGGAGGAGCAAAAAACCTTTTCCTTGTGTATATTACTTGAATTGACTTGATTAAATCAAATAATTTTATTGATTTAATGATGAATAGATTTTTGGAGATTTTAATTAAAATATGAATTAATTTTACTAGGTAAGGACAATGGTTTATTTAATTAAATCAACTAGTTGCATTTATTAAACTAGTTTTCAAGTTCGTATTTACTAAATTAGCTACATGTTGAGTAATTGAAGTGATAATTCTGAATAAACTAATTTAATGATTTAGTAAATAATTTTAATATATTTTTCAAAAAAAAATTACTTTATATTTTATGAAAATTTTTGTGATTTAGAATTTTATGAAAGTGTTATTCTTTTATTGTTCTAAGAGAGAGAAAATAAAAAAAATATTAAATAATCTCTAAAATTTAAGTAATTATTTTTAATAATTCAAAATATTTTATGTTATCTTTTTGATTCAGCTTATTTCAAAAATTTTGGTCATTTGATTATTATTAAGTTGAAATTATTCTTTTGATAATAAAGAGAGAAAAAAGAACAATTATGATAATTGAAAAAAATAATTTGAATGATTTCCAAATTTTAGGTCACATTATGAGCCAATTTTTATACCATTAGTAATGTGATATTATTGTTTTTAATGAACTCCATGTGAAGGTTAATTTGATAGTTTAAGAATAATTGTAAGTTAAATACTCACTTTATCTATAATAATAATTATTTGGTTTTCATGTATTTTAGTTTTTATTTATAAAATTTATGTCATGAAAATTGTTATGATATTGTCATAAGGATATTGTGAACAACTATTTGTATATTATTATTGAACCAGATTTGTTTGCACACTAACTTCTCAGCTTCATTTCTGATCCAACTTCTTGAGCTGATAGAAATGAATTGAGCTTGGTGCTTTACTGCATTAAAATCATTACTACTCTCCATTCATAAGCTGGTTATCACCAAAATCCATTAGTCTAAAGCTCATGAGGGTCAATAATCTCCCTCTTTTTGATGGACAAACCTATATTGATTTTTAATTAGATGGAAGTACAAGATGAGCACTCGTCACATTTTTTAGAATATGCAAGTGAAAATATGTTTTTAATTAGATGGAAGTACAAGCTCGTCACATTTTTTAGAATATGCAAGTGAAAATATTAAGTGAAAAACAATTGCATGTGAAAACCAAGATGATAAATAATTAAAAGCATATAAACTTAAGTACTATCTCTCATTAAATTGTCGATCTCTCACTAAACTAATGCATATCATACTTAATCAATATTTTCTCTTTCTCCTGCTTCTGTTATCATCATAAAACACTTTATAACTCTAAGTTTATGTTGGGGAAAAAAGAGATTATGCATGGAGTTAAGTGTGATATGCATCCAGTTAGTCCAATTCTAAGTGAGCAAAACCTTTTAAGCGAATTCAATTTTTAAGACATGTTTAGTTTTATTAAGTTTATGTCTACTTTTAAGTGAATTGCCTTTTGGGGTGAGTTGTCAAATTGGTTTTGGTTGATTTTAGATTTAGTTTCTAAGTTTGTTTAATTTTAGGTTTATTTTTTTTAACTAGCTTATATTGAGTCAAAGTTGCATTTGATGTTTGTTTTGGTTTTAGAATTTATTTAGTTTATGGTAGGTTTAAACTTACATCTATTTTAAATAGATAAAATTTAAATCTATGTTTTAAGTTTAAATTTGGGTCAATTATATATTGATTTAAACTTAATTCATATGAAGTTTGAATTTTGGTTTAATTTGATTAGGTTAAGCCAAGCCCAACCTCATCTAAGCCAACTAAAGGACATTCAGGCGGGTCATGGCTCTAAGCTAGCCAAGTCCGGGCCTAACAAGCCAAGTGAAGCCAAGGTCAGCCGAATATGACTCAGGTTGATCCTAGCAAGTCAAGGCTAACCCAACCACCTATAAGTACTAGAAAGGACTCCTAGGCCTATATAAATTTTGTTAAAGATCAAGAGAGAAGTTAACTTGGAAATGAGGTCAAAGTATAATCGTAAAGAATGTTTGATCAAACTATGAAAAATGATCCCCCTAATATATTTGTCACTAACATAAACCAACAATTAAGGATAATTATAAGAAATGCTAAATTTAACCAGTAACATTTGGAAAGAATGTTTAATAATCTAATCAATATTGACTTGACCCACTATTAATTGGCAGATAATAATAATACTTTCAAGATTAATAAATTATGGAGAAATTATAAAATAATGAATACTTGATTTAGAAGAAATTTTAGAAAATAATGTTAGAAATGTATGAGACTAGAGGTGTGAAGAATGATTTAGAATTTATAGAAAGAAAAAGAAAATTAGAGAAACTTTTATGTTATTAAAATTAGCATATAATTGAAACATAATCAAACTATTGCATAAAGTCACAACTTCTAGTGCCTTTTCCATTCTTGCTAATCGTTGTTATTGTAAATAAAATCATCACTTAAAAATTGCTATTTTTTCCTGACAATAGATTTTTGAGATGAGAAAATCGATCCAAATTATATAAGTTTGTCATGACAAATCAAACACATCATAGTGCCATAACAAAATTATGATGATTAAGATTATGCCTTGAACTCCATGTAAAAAACTTACTTTCTATTGAGAACATTAGTATTTGAGATAAATACTAATATCTAACTACATCCATTTAAACACTTTTAACAAATTTAATAATTTTATCAAAACATGATTTCTAAGTTCAACCATTAGAATGATATTTGAATATTGTTTTAAAACGCATGGCTAACTTAATCATATTTCTATGACATGGACAAATTTTATTATAATTTATAGCTAGAGTCTGTGTTTAGTTTAATGGCATTAAGATGATAATGTTATCTAAATAGCATAACTATTTAAATAACAATGATCTTTTAAAAGTGCAATGTGTTAGGTGTACACCAAAGAATATGGATCAATTTGTGTGAAGGAAGAAAAGAAGCATCTATTCATGGCAAAGAAACACTCATTTAAGGCCCAATTGCATTCTCCTAAAATCTGGGGGCTCTTTCCTAGAGTCCAAATGTACTTGCCTGGGGTGCAAAAACATTTGTCTAAAGTTGTAAGGTACTCACCGCAGGTTTATGAGCACATGGATAGAGCCCACCCATGGCATGGGTCGCCTGCTTGGGCCGAAGGGACTCTTCAACTCAGGTAGATGAGCGAGCTTCACATGGGTACTCACAGGAACATAGAAGAAGCCTACTCAGATCCGACTGTTCCTGCAACCTCACTAAACAGATGACAATTGCATCGATCAAGTTACTTCTATAGCCCTCATCCCTCAAGGGTTATTCACATGTGCCTTGGGTCCCAATCATAGAGTCATGTATTCATATATAAGATAGCAATATATATGTGTTTATTTATTTTTCTTATATAGTATTTTTGATAGTATCAAGAAATTATAAATAAGAGAGTCATGTATCAATATATGAGGCAACAATATGTATATGTTTATTTATTTTTCTTACATAATTTTTTCTATAGTATCAAGAAATTATAAATAAGAGGACAAATGGAATATGAAAGAACAAATATTCTATCATGTACTTTTTACTAGATCCCCAACACCCCATTAAGAAGTTATAAATAAGAGAGACGTGTATCAATATATGGGATAACAATATGTATTTGTTTATTTATTTTTCTTTTATAATTTTTTCTATAGTATCAAGAAATTATAAATAAGAGGACAAATGGAATATAAAAGAACAAATATTCTATCATATACTCTTTATTAGATCCTCTCTTACCCTGCTTTAAAGAAGTTGTTACTTTGTTACTTTAGATAAAGTATGATTACATTTAATTTGATTTTTATTTAAATTACATCAATTTTGGATACTAATAATGATTAAACATCTCAATTTAAATAATAGAATCAAAAAAATTACCTTTTATTAAAAATAACTCAATGTTACATAAAAAACAATTGTGAAATATCTTAACTAAAATTTGAACATTATGAACTCCAAATTTTTGTTAAATTTATTTTGAGTTAAAAATAATAAAAACTTATATGATTTTTCAACTATTATATTTACATTAAAATAAACTAAAAATTTATTACACTCATTTTGACCAATTATAATTACTTCATCCTTGCCTAATTTCTCTCCATCTGTTTTCTCCCAAGTTAATTTGCTCCTTGAACTATTAACCAATCCCATTAACGGCTTGTGCGCTAAAACCCCGACACATCACACACAGTTCATGCAACTCACATTTGCCCTCCACCTCCAAAATTCCATCCCCCCAAATCACCGAATTCCATCCAAAGTGGATGTATTTGATCCACCCAACCGCAAAAGCCAGCCAACACAATCATGTCGGTCCCCTGCCTCCTATTTCTCTCAGGCTATGACACCCAAACACCATCATGAATTCACCGCATCATTCAGATAAATTAATCCAGAGATAACCAAAGCTGCGACATTTAAGAGAATTCCGCGTGCGCCCCGTGCCATTAGTTGGTCATTTTTCTATTGGACTCCGGCTTCACCTTCCTGAACAACGAGGGACAGTGTTTCTGTTCTGGCTTTGAAAAAGGAGGTGAAGTTGGAGGCAGAAAGCCTAGAGCTTGGGGATTCTATCGGATTCCCAGAAGACAAATGGCAGGGTTTGTATAAAAAGATCCCAACTTTGTCATCCTCCGCCCCTTCTATTGTATCTCCTTTTGCCATTTTCATTTTAGAGACCTAAGTGGAAATCGGACCAAGTTGAAAAAGTCATGGATGTAGAGATTCGTACTCGCTTTAAGACAATCTGTGTCTACTGTGGGAGTAACTCCGGCAATCGAGCGGTGTTCAGCGATGCTGCTCTCGATTTGGGCCGAGAACTGGTGCGCGCTTGTTCTTATACTCTCTTGGATGTTGACTTCTCCTCAAGTATCCATTTTGTATTTTTCTTACCCTTGACTTTGATTCCAGGTGAAGAGAAGAATAGATTTGGTTTACGGTGGAGGAAGTGTGGGATTGATGGGTTTGATCTCCCAAACTGTTCATGATGGGGGTTGTGATGTTCTTGGGTAGTTACTGGAATTTATGCTCTCGAACTGTTTGATTTATTTGTCAAAAGAACTTTTCAATTTTATTTGACTTTTGATCTGTTGATTGATTCTTATTGAGCCTTTCGTTGCTGGCAAAGCAGGATCATTCCCACGGCTCTTATGCCTATGGAGGTCAGGAAGTCTACGAAGTAGCAAATTATTATTCTTATTCTTTATTTCTTGTCTTTTCAAGATGCCTGATTGTACTATAGACATCTTTTTGGATTCAACATCCTTGCATGTGTGCTCCATCTTTTCTATTTGTTCCTGTGGCCCCAGTGGGTTTCTCTGTAAAATTTGATTTTTTTTTTTTTTTTTTTTTTTTTGGTTTTTTTTTTTCCCAAAAAATAGAAGGGGAAAATCCGTGTTCCTTTGATTTGTTAACCCTTGGAAAGTTTTTGAAAGGATTTTAGAATAATGGCTTATCAGAGTACTGTTTAAAACTTTACTTCTTGGTGTATGGCTTATGAAGTGTAAAAGAAATATGGAAATGTTTTAGCTAAATGTTTATATTTCTTCTCTGCTGCCACTCAAAAACATTTTCATTCATGTGCCCTATTATGAATATGTTCCATGTTTTTGGACTCATTGTATTTTTGGGCTTATCTTCTGCAAACATGTTAATCGAGTTGGAAAATCTTATAATGACTGATTTTTTATCAGCAAATATCTAGCCAAAGAAAGATTTGAAGATTTAATACCCTTGTTTTTTTTTTGTTAAACACTCTTCATTTGATTAACACATTTGAAGAAGAATAAATTGTTTTATTGTTGACAAGAACTTAATGTTGTGAAACTTCAGTTGTTGATTTTCTCACAATAAAACAGATATCTGGTGAGACCATTGGAGAAGTAAAAAAGGTTTCTGATATGCATGAGAGAAAGGCTGAAATGGCGCGACGATCGGATGCATTCATCGCTCTTCCTGGTACATTTTTCACAATTTTGTGCAAAATATAAGTTTACATTGATCTACACAACTACTATACAATTATTTTTCAGTGTGAAATGGTGTTTTTTTCTTGATATTTAGGAGGATATGGAACAATGGAGGAGCTCTTGGAGATGATAACATGGTCACAACTAGGAATACATGATAAACCTGTGAGACTTGATACGATTTATTGAGAAATTAATGTTTTTACAGCACAGTTAATAAAACTTTCTTCAAATTATTGGGTGTTCAGGTTGGTCTGTTAAATGTTGATGGATATTACAATCCCTTGCTTGCATTATTTGACAAAGGTGTAGAAGAAGGCTTCATAAAGACTTCTGCAAGAGAAATTGTTATTTCTGCTGCAAAAGCAAATGAACTGCTTGAAAAAATGGAGGTATTCACATGTTTTACATTCTCTTATATATATATATTTATAATAATAATTTTTACATTGTTGTTATTAACGTTAAACACACTGTGGGGCTGTCTGGTAATTAATTGATTTAGTAATCGCTGTGATTTCAAGCAATACTGTGAAGCAATTGTGAAACACTAGGATTTACTAAATTCTAGATTTAGAAGTTACCCTTTTTTTCACCTCTTTGATATGATTGAAGTTGAATCCAACTTAAATCCGTAACCAGACGGACCCTCACAGAAGCGCCTATCTGACAATGGATTTAGGCCCACATTTAAGCTGTAAATCCAGTAAATCTTGTCAAATAGCCATTTTGGATAAAATAAAACTGCGGATTTGTTAAATCCGGATTTCACTGATTTCGACTGTAAATCCTGGATTTACTAAATCCCCCAAACCAGCATATTTAAGTTTGTTTTGTAAATTTTTGGGATTTAAGATTTAACTTATTCAGGATTTAGTAAATCGGGATTCATTGGATTTACTAAATCCTAATAACAAACCTCGTCCGTTGCCAGACAACACCTAAGAGATTTCCCCCGCAATTGCAGCAATACACGGCGCAACATGACCAAGTCGCAACTAGGAAAAGTTGGGAGCTTTCTCATCTTGGCTATTCCTCACCACCAATTTAACATTAGTTTCTGATTTTTCAGGCTATAATATGTTAGATTTGATGTGATTTTTTTAACATAATTTGTATCTGAGAACACAAATGATCATATATTGCACATCAAATGACTACCTTTCGGCTGATTGAAATTTCAATAAAATGATTTCTCTCTTGTTCAGCTTATGAGCGAAAGCTAAATCCCAGATGATTCGGACAGCATATTTCTGATACGATGTTGTATTATTGATTCCAATTTGAATTTTATGTCCTGTCTCCTTTTGAGGAGATGTTTATTCTGTTCAATGCCATATTTGTTATGCAGGAAATATTTATTTTGAAATTTTGCCATTTTATAACTATATTTTCATACTTTGCTTTCCCTGCATCTTTTAATCCCAAGCCACATATTTCACTAATTAGCTTGCTTTCTGAGTAATATTAATCAGTATTTGTATTTCTTATCTCTTCATATTGTGAAAATGAGCTTCAGCATTATAATCACCACACGATAAACTGAATGAAGTGAGGAGGAGAGTGACACAACCTGCATTAATTTAAAGTATGTTGTTCTACAGTGTGAGTGATTGATATAAAGGGATATAAAATATATTTTTTATTGAATATTTCCGATGAAGCACGAGCATAAATCAGCACTTTTTGGACATATTGTTGATTCCAAAGCCGCCTAGACCTGGAAAATCCTCATACAAATTTTGGCGCTAAGTACAGGTGGCTTTGATCATTATGTGCTTTGATAGTTGTGCTAAGTGGGTGTATTAAAATAGTATATTTTAGTTATAGAATCAAAATCATATAGAATCATGTTTTATTTATTTATTTATTTATGTAAATGATAATAAAGGGTAGAGAGAGCTACTTATTGTGGTATGGGGCACCATCTGTTAGTGCTTATTAATTATTTTTCCGAGAATAGATCTAACTTTTTCCTCTTAAATGAGATAGTACTGTCAAACGTGGTGCCCATGGGCATTAAATTTAGTGCCAAGTATTTAACTATAATCAATGCATTTTTGTTTTATTTTAAATTTGAAAAATTACATGTTATGTGATGTCAAAGAGTTAAGTGTTAGGCATGCAAATATGGAAAAGCTTAGATGTTAGATATGTAAATATAAAAAGAATTGTATGGTGAATTATGTTAAAAATCATTTTCTTGACAAGGAGAGAGTGAGATATGGGTTGAATGAAATATAAAAATTTATGAAGGTCATGTTTAATAAATGTGATAGTTTGATGAATATATATATGTATATATATAGGTGTGTGTGTGTGTACTGGTTTTTTAAATTTTGGAGACCGTTTTAATCATGGTTTTGCTGTCTAGCTGTCAGAAGAAAGGGGACAAGAAAATTTGTTGACTGCCATATGGTGGAGTCAGCATGAAGCAATAACAGCTAAGCTGCACAGTCCACTTGCCTTAATTTTTGTTCCTTTTCAGAGTTCTGTATTTTACAATTACATTTAACTCTTAGAGGATGGTTAGAAGATTATGTACCAAAAAGCAAATATTAGAATATAATTGAAGCATATTTAATATTATAGTTTTGATTATCTAAATGAGAAAAAAAAAAGGATTTGTTTTGGTATGTTATTCAAGACTTTGGGAAGAACCAATATTCCTATTATATTTGTGCTTTATTATTGTGGTGGGAGGCTTGCATTTAGCTCAAAAAATGCATAGATTGTGTTTGGATCTACATAGAATGATCAATGAACTTGGCATAATGTTGGACACACTCTGTATTTGGTTTAGTTGTATTAGAGTCTCTCCTTAGCTCACTCATTGTTATACCTCATATGCCCGATGATATGAACACAAATCTAATTGGATGGTGTTAGGGGATTAAAAAAATCTGAATTCTGGTAATTTTTAGTTCAAGTATGAATCAATAATCTCGGCATATTTAATTTTTTTAGTTGGATGCACAATTAATATGAATTTGACCCGTCAATCCGAATTTGACTTGAACTTGACCCAAAATTGAATTTAACTTGACATGAATAGTGACTGTGCATATGTTAAATGGGTCGTGTGAGTCCGGTTCATATAAATCAAGTTTTAGTTCAAATCATGTTAGATCATTTTCATTTCAGACTTGACCACTACCCGTGAACTTGATTTGACACTGCTAGTTAGAGAGTACAAAGATCTTTTTTTTTCCTTACATTTATAGAAGATCTGATTAAAAAATTAGAAGCAATTGATTTGTTTTTTGAAATTGTTATAAAAGCAATATCGGGTAATGAAGACGAATTGACGATGACGATCAGATTAGGTATTGCTCGAGCAACATCAATATGATCAGTCATACAATAATCATATGCTTATTTATTGTGTAAGTGACCAAACAAACACATAATTGAGTGATTTTGGTCTCGCAGTACTTCTCTCATTGAAATACTTAATTTCACTATAAGCATACCTGATTAAAAAATTATTTGGACTCCTCAAATAATATCATTATAATTTTAAGTACACTTTAAGCGCTTGATATGGTCTCATTTAAGCTTCTATTGGGTCATTTGCTGTTAAATTTATCTATAGAGAGATGTTCATATTAACTATATGTTCACTGAAATCAAAATTTGGTTGATCCCAGATTTATTTGTATAAAATTTTTATTAAGAAGTTACATCAAGGTTCATTTGACAACGTATCATTTTCCCTTTATTTGTAAATTTCTCTCTCTCTCTCTCTCTCTCTATATATATATATATTAAAATGATGGACGCCAACATGTCCCCATATGTGTTAATTCGATCCAGATGAATTCGAACCTGGGACTGAGGGGACTTACGCTTAAGCTGCCAACCAACAAGAAACCGATTGTGCATATTAAGATATATATATATATATATATATATATATATATAAAATATAGATTCAAAGAAAAAACAAGAGAAGACATTATCTCTCTTTGGCTGTTAATATAGAGGTCTTAACAGGCTGTGAATCAAGTAAATTTTTAAAAATTATAATTTTTAATATTGAGGTTAGTAGGACGAATGGAACAATAAGTGTTGAAAATCCCAAATTAAGATCAGACATAATTGAATGCATGGATAAGTATAAATAAAATCCATGAACATATCGAAGCACTAAGAAATTTTCTTAATGCAATAGAAATTTATTATGATTAAGATAGAAGATATTTTATTTTAAAAAATTAAAATATAAAAAATTTTTTTGAGAATTTTTTTTTTTTTGTAGATAAAGCATTCGTAAACACATTTATGATTACATTTTTATAAAAGTAGGCTCAAAAGTTCGCTCTAAGCGAAAGTCTATTTTTTTCCCTTAAATATGCCTACGGATCAACGCTAGTTGTCGTACTATCCTTTAATAACATAAATAGTTCCTATTTTTAATGAGGTCAAAGTACTCTCTTTCTTAAACCATAAAATCTAATCCTAGTATTGGAGTCCCTTCATCAGACCTTTAGCAAACTTTTCTAGTGAATAGGTAGGCACTGAACCCAACCTAATGCAATGCTAACCAGCCTTCCTTTGTTTAAGGTGAGCTCAAGTTGGTCTTTAGCTCACCCAAGTGATGTTAAGCTGATCATTATTAAGTCATCAAGAACTAAGAAGGAAATCAAGTATTACTTTTCGACCCAATTCACTCTAAGAGCATTTATAGGACCTCGAATCTTAATTGCACAAAGCTCAAACTCAAAATCTGTAAGTTCATTTTAAGAGCCTTTGGAGTCAATCTTGTTTCTATCTCCAAGATGGTGGTTTTGGGTCAGATTACAATTGTGTCAAAGCCGTGCTACCTGGTTGATCCCGCCAGTAGTTATGTCTTCAAAGATTAAGCCATGCATATATAGTATGAACTATTCTGACAATAAAACTGCGAATAACTCATTAAATTAATTAAAATTTATTTGATGGTATGTTCTACTCGGATAAGCGTAGTAATTCTAGAATTAATATGTGCACCAAACCCTCGACTACTGAAAGGGATGCATTTTTTAGGTAAAAGGTCGATACTGGTTTTTGTGTGTTGCCCCGAAGATTCATGATAACTCGTCGAATCTGATGGCCCTTGTGTCGGGGACACATCATCTAAATATCTTTCCTATCAATTTTGATTGTAGGAGACCTCAATTCTACTAAATTATTCAAGTAACGAGCCAACCCAGTAGTGGATCACTTCCTCGAAACCCATGTATTACATATTCTAAACTAATCAATAGACCCAATGTCAATGAAAGAAATATCTAAGCTCTTATGACTCTATCTGGACCAAATGGGTAGAATAAGGATTATACCATTCAAGGGTATGGACATAAACCCTATAAAGAAGGAAAAATGAATGTACGAACAAGCTACAAAGCTAAGTTATCCCACAAAGAATTTACAACCCCGTCTGGATTGAGAGAGCCTTTATCACCCTATATCACACTATACAACTGACAGCGACTTTTTTATATACCTAAAAATACAAGAATTTGACATCACTATTAGAAGATTTAAATCCCCGGCAACGGTGCCAAAAACTTGATGCGACTTTTAATATGCAAGAATTTATGATAACCCGTTTAATAATATGTAGACTAGATGCTTGAATTTGCAAGACTTTTAATATGCTTGAATTTGCTTGTATTACTTGAATTTGCAAGACTTTTAATATGCAAAACTTGATGCGACTTTTAATATGCAAGACTTTTAATATGTAGATTAGAATTTGCAAGACTTTTAATATGCAAGTATACATATCGCTCAAGTAATACAAGGCTCTAGAATTTGCAAGACTTTTAATATGCAAGTATACGTATCGCTCAAGTAATACAAGACTCTAGTGGAGTCCCGTTTATCGATCCCACAGGGAAGCGAGGTAAGAGGTCCTTTGTCAAATTCTAGTCTACTACAATTAGTCCTTAGTTTGGAATGTCGATTAAAATGATGTTTTATCTAGCAACTACTCCTAAATGCAAGTGTTAAATGTAAAGATAACCCTTTTTGGATGAATTGGTTTGGAGAATTTTTAGATATTAAAAACTATTATTCTTATGTAATGAATTGGATAATGAAAAAGAATGAGATGCATTAAATATTGTATGTGTCAAATAGGAGCAATCCTATTCTTTACCCTTTGGTCCGGGCATAAAGAACATTGACTAATCTTATGTTTGTTTATTGAATCCGTGGCTAGGCTGGGAGGATATCGGCTCTCACTTCGGAGCTCCCATGTTCCCCTCGCCTGAGGGCTAACATCTCCGCTTTAGTACTCAAACAATATGACCGAATTGGGGATTTTAGTCTGTCACCCTAAAATCTCCAATTCTA